AAAGCGGAAATGCAATTCATCTATATATAATAGCAAACTTAAACAAATCGAATATTTTTGGACAGTATCTTGGAAAACCATCTTGTATTTATAGGTTTATTTTAGGGGCCAGATTTTTTTTGAAAAAAAAAATCGCATTGTGGTTATTTTCAAGGATTGCGTCTTTTCGACAAAACCGCTTTATAGTTATTTGCAAGAGTTGCGTTTTTTCGATAAAACCATTTTGTCAAGAGTTGCGTCTTTTCATTATAACCGTTTTGTCAAGAATTTTTTATTTTCATCATAATTATTTCGTCAAAAGTCACGTCTTTTCGAAATAACCGTTTTATGGTTATTTTTAAAGATCGCGTCTTTTGGAAAAAAACTGTTTGGCCTATATATATATTTTAACTTTTTTCCACTGAACCTTAATCATGCCTATTAGTTCTATAATTCACTTAAAACATAAAAAAATAAAAAAGTCACTCTATTATTTTCAAATTATTCAAAAATATTGATATTTTTATTATTGATGAAGTTTCAAATTTTTTTGATTTCTGTATAGAACTTTGGATTTTTTCAGACAGTGCATATTTCATGGAAATTTTAAATATAAAGACTAAAGAAATTTCCAAAAAACGCGCAACGGAGGTCGCCCTAATTCTCTCCCATGCACGATCCCCAAGGCAATCGACGTCCGAAGCTCCACCGCAGATATGATGGCCTCTCACCGCGGCATCACCTCCGCTCAAGCCTACACCTCCGTTTGACTCTCTTGAAGCACATCTCGGGAGTGCTTCGTAACTCCTTCGACGCTGTAATTCTCTCACCGTTGCGACCTATCAACCTCCGACCGTTTGCATCTAGTCAACGGCGAGAACCTCTCAGATTTCTCCATGGCTTCCGGTGACCTCTGGTTTAAATCCGACTGGATGATTGCTCCCCGTTCGCTACAGATCCGGTGTGTCTCGCAAATCGAATCTGCTCCTTCTCCTTCCTCCCGGTGATGACATTCGGAGTATTGCAGAACCTCCCTCCTCCGCCAGAGCCGCCAGATCCACCGGATCGAGCTCCTCCTCATAAGTCATCGTCCTTGACTCCTCCTTCCCAGCCAATGTTTTCTTCCCCTCCGCATCCGTCATCACTTGGGTCTAATCCGAACATAAATCCGCCACACTCAACCACATCTCTTTTGGCGGTGGTTCGAAATCTCGCCGGTCATGACGGCGGTCCTCTCAACTCTTACTCTCCTGTCTTTTGATTCCATTTTTGTCTCGTAAGGTTTTCTCCCTTTGGTGATGACTTAATGGGCTTGGTGTATGAAGAAACTTTAGAGGGCTTGGCCCATGGTGTTTCTGTAGTGGATTGCGTATCCATTAACAGTTTACGATGGTTAATGATTTTAGCTGCATTCACCAGGTTAAGATTAATGATATTAGTAGTGATAACATCTGTGACTAGTGCCAAAGAAGGGCAACTAGAGAATGAGTGTAAAGCCAAGACGTTAGAATTCTTGGTGACTCGAGTTGAAGCTAGAGCGACTTTGTCGCAACTAAGGAATGAGTGTAAAGCCAGGACTTCAGAAGTCTTGGTGACTTGAGCTGAAGCTACAGCGGGCTTTGTCGCGAGCTTTAGAATAAGACATAAGGGCAATTTCGGTAGTATCCGACTCGTTACAATTGGATCAAGTTTTTTCGTTAGGCTCAAAGGTTTTCAAACTACATGGTATACTCCATGACACTTTATGTCTTTCCAAAAGATTTGAATCTATCTTTTTTAGTTTCTTTTCAAGATTAGCAAACCTAGTTGCTAAGTCTCTTGCAAAAAGAGGCATTGTATGCCCTTGTAACCGAATCACTATTTTAAGTTAATGAAGTTCTTGGTTGACAAAAAAAAAAGACTAATGAAATTTCCAACTATATATTCCTCGGAAATGGATGGTGCATGTAGTGAGGTTTTTGATTTAACAATTGTCTACGAAAACGTTGATTTTTTATATCTAAAACAGTGTTTATTGATTGCATACATCAAAATATTGAAGTCGCGTAAATACTGCTACAAAATACCAAAAAGAAAAGACACCAACAATCGATTTGGGTATCAACTATATTTTTATATGTATTGGACAATT